TCTCTACCTCTCTCTCAAATAAATAAAATCTTTTAAAAAAAAATAAATAAATAAAAAAGAAACCGAAGAGCCAAAAGACAATGAAATGTTTTCATTATCTTCCAGAGTCAAAACTAAGTGTGGGAAATCCAGGACTCTTGTGGACAAGAGAAATCAGGAAGAAAGAAAATGGCATTTTCTTGATTTCCACAAGTTTTTGATATAAAATGGTTCAATCAGAACTGGACAGGCAACCTGGTGTAGAAGACAATGTCTTCCCAGAACCAGTTTCTGAAGGTGGGGGGAGAGGGCCAAAGACACTCATTCCTTCCACTCAACATTTACTGAATATTTCCTGCAGCAATGTTACTGGCCCCGGGCCTCAGTTTTGTCTCCTGTAAAATGTCTACTTCCCAAAGTTGTGAGAACAGCCAATATTTACCAAGTACATTACTTAACTATTTATAGCTTTGTTAAGTATTATTATTACTATTTTGCAGAGGAGAAAATTGGACCACAAAGTGACTTATTTAACATGATCACAGCTTTGAAACCTAGGCATTTTAACCCAACTTCCGACCAACCAACCTAGTGCCTCAACAAATGGGTTCCCTTCTTTCTCAGCCAATTATATTCCCTTTAAGTATAAGTAAATAAATGGTCATATTTTAAAAACAACCTACTATGTGTTAGCATGGTAAATTAATTTGTCCTCCTAACAGCTTATGCAGTTGGTTTAGATCTCAAATAAGCTTAAGCTTTCACCAGTGAAAAACTTATTTTACATGGAAAATCATTCTCAAATTGCTCTTCTGACATAAATCTGCTGGAGTCTGAGCCCCATGAGCCAGGTTTTTCCAGGGCCTGATTACAACTGGGAAAATAAATTGACCATCCAGGTTCCAGACCTGTAGAGTTAAGAATACGACGCAACAGCAGTCTTGAGGCCTGCTGCCCACCAAAGTTCCAGAATGCACTACCTATTTCATCTCCAAACTCCCTCAAAAAGTAATGCAAAAAGAAAGGCGGTAGACCTTGTCTGTCAGTCTTTCCCACTCTCCATTCATTCACCTTGATAAATCAAATCTCCCTTGCACATATCATGTGATATTTAAAATAAAAACTGTTGGGATGCCTGGGTGGCTCAGTCGGTTAAGCGACTGCCTTCCGCCCGGGTCATGATCCCAGGGTCCTGGGATCGAGTCCCACAACAGGCTCCTTGCTCAGCAGGGAGCCTGCTTCTCCCTCTCTCTCCCTCTGCTTGTGCTCTCTCTGTCAAATAAATAAAATCTTAAAATAAAAATTGTTAAGCTCTTTTGTATTTGAAATCTCCCAGAACACTGAAATTCTAGCTGTATCCCAGATATAAAATACTAATTAAGAAAAACAAATCAAAGAATCTTAGTGTACTTACAAAGCATCTCTTATGCTTCTTAAATAACCCAGAGAAATAACTGCACAAAAGAAATTCATAAAGTTATTGAATACAAACTTTTTCATTTTCTTGACATGTTCCTTCTACCCACCCACTTGAGAAATGTACTGTTACTAGTATTGGCTGCCTTTAAGTATTTGTACTTTGGTCAACCAAAACTTGGGAGAAACATGTCTATTTAATAACAGAACAATGAAAAGCACAATTTGTAGAGGGTTTTTGTTGTTGTTGGGCGTGGCATCTAAGGATACTATTTTTTTGGTAAGACCACTTTTAGATTCTAACCCTTAAACATGATCCAAGCGCAGGAGAAATCAGGAAAGAAGCAGCAGATACGGTGCTGCTTATCGGCTGTCTAGACTGCAAGCAAACCCCAAATACCAAAGAAGCATCCATGTGTCAAACCAGCATAATTTTTGAGCTATGCCTGGGGCCACATTAAAAAAAAAAAAAAGAAAAAAGTTGGCTTGAAAAGAAAATCTAAGAGGGGTAACCAGAAGGTCAACCCCAGTTCACAGGAACTAGGAAGCAGCTAGCAGGGATAGCTGTAGCCTTTTACCCTGTCATCCCCCTGATTAGCTTCCTCCCCAACCCCCATATAATATCTCCAAGGAAGGCCCAACTCCCTACGAGCTAGCTTCTTCAAGGTCATCCTAGATAACGCAGTGAACAATCACCAAACATTGAGCCAGGCATACCTTTAGGCCTAAGAGAGATTTTCCCCCTTCCCCAAATGGTTATATAAATACTTTAAATGCCATCAGGCTTTTCTCCAACTCCACCAGAAACAAACTCCCAGACTTTAGATTGAGCAACTAAATGAACGTGTTCGGTTTTGCGACCCACATCATTAAAAGGCTTTTCAAGTCCGGCAAACTCCTGTTCAAAAACAGGTGCTTTCAGTGTACTTTTAATGACAAGGTCAAATTCTTATTTTTAATTATTAAAAGAAAAAGAAAAAAAAGTTTTTTCAGCCTTCCTTAGGACAACGTGAGGCGTGGGGACTGGGGGAGTATTGCTGAGGTAAAACTGCCTCACACAGGGTCCGTGTTGGTCTCATCAGTAATTCCTAGCCTTCCCAGTGCCTGTAGTGAGTTACCCCAGGTTAGACGGAGAAAATAAAAACAAAGAAACCTACTAGGTCTAGTTACCAGAACAAACTGCACCGCCCTGCCACCCCAAGAAACCAACCCCACCCGCAACCAAAACAAACCTCGCCCCTCCGGGATCCCCCTCCCACACGTAAACACACAAAGAAAACAGCGGCACGCACAATTCAGCTACAGTCCTCACTTCCCCTTGTACGACAACGGGGAGCCCCGAAACTTCCTCACGGTGGTTTTTTCGGGCGTCGTCGGGGCTGGGTCCCCTTAACGTGCGGGCCACGGCTCGGCTGCGGGGGGTTGGGGGTGCCCGCCGCACGCACCGGCTTCCCAGAAAGCAGCAAGATGCCTCCCCAAGTCCTCCCGCGGCCCTCGGGCCCCCCCAAACGCGCCCCCCCGACCTCGGCACGCGGTGACGGCCGAGAGAGAGGCACCACGGCAGCAAATAGAAACGCTCCCCGGTGGGTTTGTTGGTAAATAGAACAACTTGGGTCGGGAAGAAAGTTGCTGCGGAAAGCTGTTCGCCCGGGCGAAGGCGGCAGGAGGTGACCCGAGTCCCTCGCCGCTTCCTCCCTCACCTGCGCCGGAACAACGGGCCCCCGCGCACGCCCGCCCGCCCGCCCGGCGCCTCCCGCAGGCCGCGCCTCCCGCACGCCGCGCTGCCGGGGCTTGTTCCTCCTCATGGCTTTGCCCTGACGTAATTCAAACATGGCAACAGTTCGACTTCAAAGGCGAATCCACAGACCTCCCAGACACAGGCTCCGGGCCACGGGTAACGGGCCAAGAACTCGGGGCCACGCTCTCCCGGCCCCTCGGCCGTCGCGGCACTCGGCGCCCGTCCTGAAGCGCCGGGGCCCCGAGACCGCCGCCTCCCTGCCCGCCCGGAGCGCGGAGCACGCCGCCTCCCCGCGCACCAGCATGGCACCTCACACCAGCAGCGCCGCCAAAGTTTCCCCGCGAGGGGCTGAGGAACAAAAGCCCCTCTCGAAACTCGCCCGAAGTTCGGGGGGCCGGGCCCGCACGGCCCTCCGCCCCGAGCGCCGGCGGGGCCCGCACGGGCACATGCAGCTCTTTGTTTTCTGTCCAGCCGGGCGCTGCCTACGTGCAGCATCAGGGATGTCGGATTGTTTCTCAGAGGCGAGACACTTGACGATCACCCTGGCGAAGGGTCCGGGCCCCGCGCCCTGAGAGCCCGGAGCCTGTCCCCCCTTCCTCCCCTCAGCAGCAAGCCCATTTAATCAAAGTTTTTCAGTGTCCTTGATGAGAAACGCCCGATTACCCGCCCCGCACCAGCGGAGAGTTGGCGACTTTCACTCTGCTTTTTAAACTGGCAAGACGCCATCATCAGCAAATCACATTGTCCTGCCAGCCGGCCGGCCCCAACAACACCCGCATCTCACTGCCGGCCCGGAGCCGGACACTCACACAGACCTCCGGCGAAAACCAGGGTCGCAGCCCCAAGCACGTGGTCTGTCATGTTCAGCACAAAAAGCAGTGCCCTCAAGAGTTCTCTCACTCCTTCGGCGCAGACAACGCCGCTGCCTCCATCCCCAAGTCAACTTGGCTCTGACTGGCCATCTTAAGCCGCACACGGCTACCCCAGAAAGCCCCCGCCGTGGCGCCCACATCTACGCTACAGGTGAATAAATTGCGAACAAAACTTGAGGCTCCACAGACACATCGGCCCCCCGCGCTGCCTGGGCGCGGTCCCGGGGGAAGAGGCGTTGGGGAGCCGGGCTGTTTCGGAGCGGCCGCGTGTTGCTCTCATTGTCGCATCCGCATCCCTCCGGAGTTCGGCAAACAACGCCACGCCGCGTGCACCCCGGCCACCCCGGCGCTGACCCAAATGGCCGATTTAAAACCCCCTCACGCCCGCCAGCTCGCAAGTAGACGGCAACTTAAGTTTCCGAGCGAATGGCGTTTATTGTCCACCCTTCTCAAACACGCGCGGGGGGCTGCAATGAAACTAAACCACGAGGTTCAACCACGGCGCCCGACCACTCCCGGGGCGCGCGCCCACGCGGATGCACCAGCCCCGGGCCCCTCCGCAATTGCCAGCAAGTCGTTTTTCTCTCGGGCCTTCCAGCCACCCAGCTCCTTTCCGCCACAGAACACTAGGGCTGAGAAAAGTCATTGTCACCTTCAACGTGGATCCCTCAACTCCGGCGACTCCTCACTCGTTAGCAGCCTCCACTCACTTCCCCCACCCCAAGACTTTCGGTTTGCCTCCACTACCCTCCCCAATTAAAAAGACACATTAACGTGTATACAAAAGAACCCGGGGTTTGAAGATCACGAGAACATTGCTCCCAGCAATGCCATCTCCAAGACAAAACTTCCTGTGCGTGCGTGTGTGTGTGCGTATGTGTGTGGAAGGACTGGGGGAGGTGGGGGAGGTGAAAAGAGGAAAAAAAAAAAAAACACTCTGAAATCAAAGCCTCATGAGACAGTTTTGCACCAGAGTAATGGTTAGAGTCACTCACCTTCCAAAGGCAGCCGTTCCACACGCAATAACGTTCCCGAGGTGCGGAGTGCACGCCAAGCCAACCCCCCCTCCAATCGCTCCCTCCTCCTCAACTGCCTTGTCTAGAAAGATTGTCTCCTGCAGTTCTGCAGTTGCTACCGCTGGCCGAGAAGGTGTAGATTCCGCTTTCCCTCTGCGCACGCGCGTCTCCCGGTACAAAATTCTCCTGAATCGAACTTATTTGCATACGGGCGCGCGCGCGTCGAGGGCTGGGAGGGGAGAAGGCCCGGCGGCCGCGCGCGCTCCCGGGGCCTCTATTGTCCTTTTAAGGGGAGAAGCGCCGCGGCGCGGGAAACGAGGCGGCCAGAGGGAAACGGGGGCGGGGACTGCTTACTACGGCTGACGTCACGTAAACAAACGCCCCCTGGCTGGAGGCTGCGGCGGAGGGGGAGTGGCGGGGTGGGAAAGGCGGAAAGGTTAGCGGCGGAGGGAGAACGTTTGGCTGAGTGACGTGCTTTCCACCCTGAAGTTCTTGGGGCGCACCGTTTCTCGTTGAAAAATAGTTTTGGAAGCTGTTTTTGCAAAATTGTCACACTTGTGCCCACTTTCAGGCTGGAGGCGACAGGGGAGGTGGTCTTCCAAGCAACCAGAATGAATTTATGCCGCCTGTATTTCCTAAATTTTGTTTGGTTGGGTTTTTGAAGCTTTTTTTTTTTTTTTAGTCCTCTGGGACCAGGAGAGGTTCGTTTTTCCTACAGTTTTAATGAGACGTTTAATAAAGTCTCATTTTGACACTCTGCATTCATTAACTCCCGCCTGCCCTCCTCAAGCAGTAACCCAACCCATAACGATCCAATTTTTCCCCACTTTGGCCTTAAGATTTCAAGCCTGTCCGAGTTGAATGGTTGTTAATTTCCGTGGGAACAGTGTAGCTTTCCTAAAAGACTAGTCGGTGGAAAGTCAGTAATCTAGGAACATGCATACCTTCTCCAGCTGCTTGTTAAAGGTGTTCCACTCACCCAGAACTAATACCACTAACTGGTGGTCTTGGGAATGGCAAAAGTAGCCAGTCAAGTGCAGACTTTGCCTAATGAAATATATAATAAGCCAACAATTTAAAAGCTTCCTGTCCCGGGAGGAAAGAAAAAAAAAAACTGAGAAATTGAAGTCACTCTTCTCATTTTAAGTGAAAAATGAAAAAAGAATACTTGTGATACACCTTTATTTGGAGAACACACCTAACACCAACAGACTGAGCCCCTGATGAAATGATAGAGGGAGGGTGGGGAGAGAGGAAGGATGTTTTTCCCAGAAACTTGATATTGTTCCCAAGCTACAAAAGTGTGGACATCAACCATAAAACTTAATCATCTGCTGACAAGTTTCACTGCTTTCACTGTAATGTCAACAATATGGATTTAAATAGATACTTGTGAAACGCTAATTTAATTCAACAACCAATTCACAGTACAGTCAAGACAAACCCACTTCCAACATCTTTCAACTAATGCTGCTTTTTTTTTCTTTGGGTCCTGTAACATACTGTTTCCCTAACTGTATATGAAAACTACATATTAAATACCTGTGAAAAAGAGAAAGAAAAGATACCCCTCACTAAAATGTGAACTCCCTTAGGGCAAGAATTTTATATTGTGTTCATTTTTGTACTTCAGTGCCTAAAACAGTGCATAGCAGAAAAATTGAAAAACTGCTTGTAAAATAATAAATTGATGGACATTTTCAAAGTTATTTATCAGACTTATCTCAAGTCAAAACAGCTTTACTTTAGTGTAGAATTTTTGTATTTACACTAAAATGAGTTTGGAAGTTATAGTGATCACCTCGATTAATATGATGCCTATGATGCTCAAATGGTTCTTATCATAATAAATAAAGTGGAGTAGGCTTCCTAGCTGTTTCTGGGCTTTCTTTGGTAACAAACTGGACCTTAGCATAAACACTTAACTTCTTTTTGAAGAAAATTTTTATAAGTTGTCCTGGATTCTCACATTCTTATTTGGTTTATGACAGATCTTTCAAAAATAATTTCAAATTAGTATATGCTTTTCCAAGTATGAAAGTTGCAAGTGTGATAATATTTTTCAAACTTCAATTATTGCTTACAGGATATATCTATATATATATTATATATGTATATAAAATATAAAAATGTACCTTGAATGCCTTTTCTCTTAAAAGTTTATGTAAGGAATATATACTATAATCCAGGGATGGAATAGGTTCAAATGTACAAGCAATTCAGGAATTACATACAGTATTTAGGATATACTATTCAGATAAAAAACTACCTAGGGGTGCCTGGGTGGCTCAGTCCATTAAGCGGCCACCTTCAGCTGAGATCATGATCCCAGAGTCCTGGGGTCGGGCTCCCTGCTCAGTGGATAGCCTGCTTCTCCCTCTCCCTCTGCCTGCCTCTCTGCCTATTGTGCTCTCTCTCTCTCTCTCTCTGTGTCAGATAAATAAATAAAATCTTTAAAAGAAATTAAAAATTAAAAAAAAGCTACCTGTAAGCTTCAGAGCTAAGTTACTTAATATTGTACAGCAAGACTTCCTGTGCTCTCAAAGTAGAGGTCAAGAAGTAATCTGGGTAATTTTTTGTAGGAAAGGTAGCAACAAAATCCTTAAAGAGGAATTTTAGTTTCTTAGAGCCTTAAAAAAAAAAAGGAAAGAAAGAACCTCCTATTTTTGAACAACCAGATACATTCCAAAGGTTCTTTTGTTCATTTTGTTGCTTGAACATGTTGTTATGGCCGTCTCTATCCAGGTCCAATAGCTCATTTATGGGCTACTTTAAAATACTATTACCTAAATATCCCAAGTGAATTTTTCATAGAAAGAAAGAGAAAAAGGGAGAAAGGGAGGAAGAAAGAAAGAAAGAAAGGAAAGAAGGATGGAAGGAAGGAAGGAAGGAAGGAAGGAAGGAAGGAAGGAAGGAAGGAAGGAAGAAAGAAAGAAGGAAAGAAAGAAAGAAAGAAAGAAAGAAAGAAAGAAAGAAAGAAAGAA